GTTTTAATATTGGATTCGAACGGTAAAAGGGTTTGTAATACATACCAGCTGACAAATGGATTTCGTGTACAAGTAAAGGTAAGACCATAAACTTTTATTATTTCTAGTTAGAAATAAGCTCAACTGGAATAAATTTTAACCTCAAATTAAATATGGGTCACGTTTGTGTGAAGAATGCTGATATGAGATATAAAACATAACGCATTGTCTGTTAACAGACAATTTGTTAATGGTTCATTTGTATTTGTAAATCTGACTAAAAGAGTCAGTGCCTCACCAGCTGTCAACCTCACCGCACGTCACTGGTGTGAATGTCAGATTGTTGACTTGGGAACTGACAAAAAACATTCACCACATCACACAGTGTAGGCGGGGAAAAACGTGATTATATGGGTTGCTCATTTTGCTCCATCATCTGTAGAACATCTGTTGAGATGTCAATGGAATTCCATGGGCGCAGATTCCATTTGGGTCTGATGACTTTAAAATGTAGACAAATTGCCAACAACCATATTTTTTTTTGCTTTGACTCAGCATGACAGCAATTTGTTTTCATGTTACAGCTCTCTTTCTGATTGTCGGCAGAGCTCTGGTGGTCTGAAATGTAAGTGTGACTCAATACAGTCACTGATAACTTTCAACACAGTCAACTGAGACACTGATCGGGTTTCAACATAGGTCACAGTATTTTATATTTTTTTCTCCCAGATAAAGCCCACTCATGCTTTTCAAAGGATAAAATAGCTATATTTTGGAATGTAGCTAATCACATTTTATTATTTAACTCTGTTTTTAATCCTTAATGTTAGTGCCATTAGAAAAACAGGTACATTAATTTATTTAATGAGCCCATTTGTCACTATGACTTCAGTTTTCCATAGTTAAATGAGCTATTTAGAACAAAATCAGGATATCGTGACCCTGTTCGGGGACTAAGCGGTAGAAAATGAATGAATGAATGACGCCGCTTATATTTCTCTCCTTTTTGTTTTTTTTTAACAGGATTAAAAGTGGTCAACAGCTGAAGAGGACACAAGTTCTTGCCAAGCTTTTTGTGTTTTGCTATTTTTATCTTTTGTGCTTTGAAATTGCTTTTGCTGCCATATAGAAAATAGCTGCATAGGTTAGTTCTATTTCGTATAGTCTTAGCCTATGGGTAGTCCTGAAGTGCAGGTTGGTCGCAAAAAGACATCTTTTCAGGACTACGCATGCGCGAGGGATAAACCCAATAGGGACAACTCTTAAGAGAACTACGCCTGTACTCATAGAAGCTTGGGTTACTGTACGTAACCATCGTTTTATAATCGTTGGGACAGCTGCTGTTTGGTTAGCAGGGCTGCAACTCATGATTATTTTCATTTTTTTTGTACGATGGGGACGTTTAGGCCTTTTTATTGAAAAATGACCGAATTAATTACCAAATTAACGGCAGATAATTTTCCTGTTGATCACCTAATTGCTTCTTTGACCAGCTCTCAGCTTGATGGCTAATAATTATGTATGAAATAAGCTTGCTGCTAAACATTTATTCCTGTTGCTTTAATTAAAAACTGTTGTAAACAGCATACGATTTTGTCATTATTTACATAATTAATATAACATTAACATAACACAAAACTGGGTGTTTTAATAAATAATCAGTAGTGCAAGACATACGCAGAGCTTTAACTTAAAAATAAAATATTAATAGTATAGATACAAGTTCGAAATCCTGCATTCAAATGTTTAATAAATGTGTAGCATAGAAGTCCACATTGGCAACAGAAACGTAAAGGTTTTGATATGCAAAATAACAAATTTCACGATGGCAAATATTATTGCATTATAATGCAATAATGCAATTTTTATGTTAAACATTTGGTAAACATTTAACTGTCCTTCCACCGTGTAGCTTAATCTATAATAATTATTAGGGGATAATGTTTTGTCTTAATCTGCAAAGTAACTAGTGACTATAAATACACGTACTAACATAAAAGATACAATATTTACATTTGCATATATTGTACTGTACTTGAGTAAGTAAATACTTTCCATCATAGTGAATATGACAAGCCTAAGGTTAGTCTTAAATCCCAAGACTCAGGAGTAGATTCTGAGGGAAGTTCATTTCCCCCGTAGATATCTTACGTGTTTCCCCTTACCTCAATCTGAATCTCACTTTCACCCTTTCTACCTCAGCCAAGCTTTCGCATATAATGTTTAACATATTGTAGCTAATACTGTGATTATAACGCGTAGTACTACTGGGCTGTGGTAAAAATTCCACTCCTTCAGGAACTTCATAGGCCCTGCTGGGTTACTCTCCTGGCTACATCTATGTTTACTCTTCACACATGTGCACGCCCATTGGCACTCCACATACATACTGGCTGAACATTAACCAGCAGTGTTTTTTTAGTAGCGGTATCAGTGTCTGGGTCGTACCAAATAGTGGGTAGTTAAAACTCTATTTGCCTATCTCTTCGCCAAATTTCTATCTAGGTGAATGAATATCTTGATGAAGAAACACTTTTGTTTTTTAAAACTTTGTTCTGTTCTCATCACTATGTTCTTGTATCGACATGAATCTAGTTGACAAACAAAAACACAAGCCAAACCAAATTCAACACCCCTGTATTTCGCAACTTGTCGGTGAAAGCTCACCTGTTGGCTGCGCGGGTGACGTGAGGCGTTCAGGTACTCCCCTCGCCTACGACACACAAAGACAAAATGGAGGTGACGCTACCTGGCTGAGATAAAACTACACTTGTGTTCAATATTATGCATAATCTTAAGTTTTTGTTTTTGTATTTGATGAGTTATTAATACTTACATCGACTGAGACTCGAGGAAAGAGGATTAAAATGTTTTGGACGTTAATAATCGTCGCTTTAATGGCAACAGGTAAGTTGGCCTTTTTCTGTATTTTGCCAGATAGGGAGGATCCTCTTCCGTGAACAGTCCGTTGTTGTTTCTGCAGCTGCTCGAGGTTTTCAAAGCCTTGGCATATTTTGTGGCCTATTTTTTTGTAGTCAACGTTTTAAGGCTGTTTACATTTATATATTATACAATTCCCTGGGAAATTTTTATTAAATTGTGCAACAACAGGATTTTATCAATCGAGAATTTTAAAGCTTATGAAAACCCGTTATAAGAAAATATCGTCGTTTCTTCTTGTTGATGGATGTTTCCTTATAGGCTGCCAATACTTTCCCTTTATAATAAACTAGTTAGAGTTTCGTGTTGTGTAACTTAGTTTGTTGAAGTTCGTTAAAAGTCTAGCTATAATATGCCTGGAAACAGCCAACAGTGGCTGTAAAAAGATAGGCCCTACCAGTACTTATGATATGTAAAACATGTATTACTTGTGTTTTATCTGTATTTAATCAAATGTGGTAACATCAGCAACTTATTGCTCAAATGTTAATAAAAACAAAACGTGAGCAACGGGGAACAAGGACCAAGATAAGTGGAGGTTTGTTAGAACAGACACACTTGGAGTTATATATATATATATACAGATAGATAGATTTGTATAACATAGCATCTCAAATTACAGGCTCCATAAAGCTGAATCAACAAAAAGGCCTTGGCCTTAGAGAGATCTTTGACAGTGGTATAGTTGGCAGAAATTATAGTTGCATGCTGTAATGTATGTAAACAGAACCTTTATACCTTTAAACCTTTTGCATAGTCATGCAAAATAAAAGGAATCAACAAAATGTGTGTGTGTATTCACAGTTTTATTCTTATGTTTGTGGAGATTGTCCTGTATTCAAAGTGCTAAACTAGTCAACAGGGCTTACTTGAGTTTCTTGAAGCCATTTCATCTCATCCAGGTCATTCAGCTTCTGAAACTCAACCAAGTAGCCTACAGTTGTCAGCTTTTAGTGCTTTGGATAGGCTATTGGTGTTTCAGTTTAATCTATTTACTTTTCTGTTGAAGAAAAATGATAAATACTATTTTGTTTTTGTAGAAATGTATGTGTTGCTAGGAAAATGTAAGGCATAACATGCCATCTAGAAACCATACATTTTGTGATGCTTTATCAAATGGTTATTTTGGGGCCTTTATATTTTAGATTTAGCAATACAGGAAAAGAAACAACAACAATGCCACTGCAATTAATCAGTGAACATCTCGAGTTACATGTTTGGCTGGAAATAAAGGGCATGTTGCTTATTGTTGGCAACTCTCACAAAGAGGCCAAAATCACATCTGAGCTGTGGTTCCACAGTTGGGTATACACTAATCCTCTTCTCTTAGAGAATCTCAGACATTATAATTTACTGTACTGTATTGGTTAAGCTGGAAACTCTGAGCCCATCTGAGGTGACTCATCGCTTCCACTCTCAGTGATACTAGAAATGAAGAATCATTGCTTGTCATACACCACACCCCAGGAAATCCATATTTATGCAATAGTAGAAAATGTGAGCTACAGTTTAATAGTAATAATAATCAACATTGTCATTTACCACTTAATCTCATCATATTTTTGATTTCTCCCTAGAGTCCACCATGGCCATCTCGGTCCAGTGCCCCACCAAGAGGTACATTGCCATCCTCTTCCAGCCCGTCACCCTCACCTGTAACTACCAGACAACTGCCACTCAGCCTCCTGTTGTCACATGGAAATACAAGTCATATTGCCAGGACCCCATCCAGGCTGCAATGAATCCCAGCAGCGCACAGAATGCCCTGTCTCAGAACAACCCCAACTATAACCCCAACATCGAGTGCGCCGACACACAGAGGACTGTGCGCATTGTAGCCTCCAAGCAAGGAGATGCTGTTACCCTTGGCCCGGAGTACCAGGGTCGCAAAATCAGCATCACTAACAGTGAGTTGACTGAAACTTGCATTCTGAAATCCCGTTTGGTTGTATAGTAAAGACTAGGTGACAGTTAAAATTTGATTTGAAATATATCACTGTAAACAAAAAATAACGCTGTGGAATTAATAAAGCAACTATTTATCAATTAAACTATTCTGCTGCTATTTTGCTAATCGTAATGTTATTTTTCAAGCAAAAAATGTTAATTTCATATTTTTAATCTTCCAGTAGGGAGAATTTGCTGCTTTAACATTATAAGTTGAATATCTTTGAGTTTTACTGTTGGTAAGAAGAAAACAAGGCTTTTGATAAGAACACCTTCTCCGAAATTTTGATGAGCATCAGTTAATCAAGAAAATAAATTAAATTTGTTTACTTTCAAGGATGTTTTACTCCGTAACACAGATTATTTGAAATTTTGTTTGTCAAAATAAGCACTGATATTTTAAACAGATATTTGATGTAAAATCCCAAATGAGTACATTTTACACTGGATACAGACTATGAGTGGTTAATTATTTCATATCTACTCTGCCAGTAGTTGTCTTCCAACATATGTAAATTGTGTATATAGTATTTTCTTACTACATCAGAACTTTGAATGACTTTCTCTCACTTTAATTTCTGTGTAGATCTACTTTTCAAAATAAATTTTAAGATATTATTGTAGATGATATACATATATCGCACAAACCTAGGACGCTTGCCCCTCTTCCTCCTGGGAAGGGGGTAAATTAGTCAAGAATTAACTTAGGGGAGATGAACGTGGTGATTTACCAATTTAACGCAGATGTAAACTGGTTTTGACAGCTTTTAAAAGAAGAACTATCCAACCCAGCTTGCCAGCATATTTTGTACTACCTCCATGCATGTGAAATAACACTGTGCACTTGGCATTTTTTAGTGTTCCTTATTTCAGTGTATGTCACTTTAATACTGTTGAGAAAATCATCATCACTTCAGCACTTTTTGACCAATAGATCTTTCACAGGGCTGAAGCAAGTTAAAAACAGTAGCCATTCCAAGATAAAATATTGGAGTTAATATATATTAACATTAGAGTACCACACAAAACATCAACACAATTACATACTGAGTGTGTAGTAAGTAAAGAGGTACACTAATAGGCACGTCTGAAACCTGTACCATGTTAAGAATCTGCAGCATACCGAGACAAATGATGCATGTAATGTATCAACAGACCAAATGGGGAAACTGGCAGGTGTCCCTCCTCAGTCCATATTTAATTGTGTAAGGGCTTAGTTCAAAGCCCTGTGAGTCAGCTTGGTAGCATCTGGTGTTTATTGATGATGTTTTGTTTGTCTGTGATGTGCAGTGTGTGAAGTTACTGGATTTTAGGCTGGGTAGTAAAGTAAAGGGAGGAATAATAAAATAAATAAGAAAGCAAGTAAACTAATTGGGGTTGTCCAACACGTTTGAGGATGTTCTAAAGGATGATTATCATCTGCTACATCAAGATATTAGAAACAGTTTTGCTATGCAGTGGTAGACTAAGACCAACAGCCTGTCAAACAGAATGGTGCTTCCTCTCCCTTGTGCCCTAGGGGATTAGACAGTAGTCAGAAGGGGAAAATTGCAATAACGTTGCCACAGTTTTGTTCTAGTTTCATCTAAACATTTTATACAGGGACATTGTTCAGTTCATCAAAATTAAGGTAAGGCGAGGGAAAAAAAATTAAGTGGAGCGGTTCCATTGAAACCAAAACAATGCAGGCTGTAGGACTTGGAGGGCAGTGTTGTAATGTGGAAGAATAAACATATTTATATTTACTTAGTAATAACTGTCTTGTTGAGGTGTCAAAAACTGCAACTTAACAAGAATTATTATAAGATCCTACTGTTACAAGGTTGTAATAACCTGAATTAATAATACTGTAACCACTTTAAACCCAAAACACACCTGTTTATCTGTTTATTCCTCGCAGATGCAGACCTGAATATTGCACAGACAGCATGGGGTGACAGTGGTGTCTATGTCTGTTCTGTTCTCTCCTCCCAAGACCTTTCAGGAAATGGTGAAGACTACACAGAGTTAATTGTACTTGGTAAGTACCGTTTATGGGTGTGTATATTGTCACAGTCTAACATGCACATATTAACACAGTTTCCTCTTCTTCCCTGCATCCTTCCCCTTTCCTTTACTTTCATCTTCATATTCTTACCCATGTGATGACACATACGGGTTCAAAGTATTTGAGAGCAAATGTTCCAGATGATCTTTGTTTCACAGATTTTGCAGGTGTCTGGTGAGCTAGGCAGATTTTCATTTGAAACAGAAGATACTGTCCACAAGCCCACTTCTGAACAAGTCCTTAGTCATAAGTTGTAGGCAGCAAAATTAGGCCGATACCATGGGGCACTTTAAAGTAATTGTGGCTTTATCTTTCTTTCACAGAGAGAAAGTCAAATACTACTGACCTCCTGCCTGGCATTGACTTACTGGTTATGGAAGGTATTATATTATAGCTTTTACTCCCACAGTAGACCTGTATGAGGGAGGTTAAGGTTTAGTTGTAAAGGAGATGAAATAAACCTTTTTTTTTTTTTTTACAGAACACCAGAGCTACAGTGCTTGAGGTCACTCAGATTGTGTGCTTTTAAATTATTCAAAATTTATTTTATTGATTTCTTACAGTCTAAGCTGCTTTGTTAAACAGTGTGAACTGTTTAGGCCTGAGACAGTCAGTACATTGCTGGCCAAAATTGCACTCTAAATACATAAATGGTAACTAGAGCTATGACTCATTTTGAGAGTAGGGCCCATTTAATGCACAAACATCCTATTTCTAGATGAAAACAGTTTAGCTGTCCAGCTTGTGTCACACTTCACTTATTTCTGTAACATTCTCTCCTACAGTGTCATTTGCTGTTTCGGTTTCATTTTATTTAAATTGACTCAGTCTATGGCCAGTCTGTGGCTACCTGCTCTTTCACTTCTCTGCTAATCTAGTTTCCATTTTAGTTGATTTATTTGAACATACAATATCTCCCCTCTGTTTTATTTCTTTCTTAAGTTGCATGTGCTGCCTGAACTGACTTGCATAGTGAAATCATGCCTTCGGCTGTAAAAACCTGTTTTACCACTTTGACGAAACATCAAGAAATAGCCAAAGTACCATTGCAGCTCACATGTTTTGATCTTTGCAGGCAGTAACAATGTATCTCGAATGTTTTAACCAAATTGTTAGCATTTATAAGCAATACACAGCACAACTGGAAATCTAGAGTCACTAGGTCAAACAGCGGCCCTCTGTTGCTGCACGTTCTAGATGACTGTTCACAGATGCATTTACATATATGACTCCGATGGATTTTTTTTGTTCTAAAAAAATTTTACCCACAGTGGAATTTCTGTTATGTCACCATAGACAACTGAACTAGGAGCTTTGTGTTTATGCCCCTTTATTGTATGTATATGAGCAAACTGTGGGGAAAAATGTCTTATTTTCTGAACTTGTCACTGTTAACAGAGAAAAATTAAGTTTTGTGAATGAGTAATGTAAATTTGTGATATAAATGTACCTAATGCATGATCCGCACAGACTGGCTCCTGGTTGTTCTGGTGGCTTTGGGCTTCTTGTTGCTGCTGCTCCTGATCGGGATCTGCTGGTGTCAGTGCTGTCCACATACCTGCTGCTGCTATGTCAGCTGCCCCTGCTGCCCCAACCGCTGCTGCTGCCCACGAGCACGTAAGTACTAAATGGAAAGACAGTGAAATTGTACTTGTAGTGTTCATTTACTGCATGAATCACAGGACCTGGGTATCAAACATCAATATTTATTAGGAACTTTTGTATGGCTTCTTGCACACACATTAAACATTTATGATTTTTGGCCTGTTTTGTGAAATTGGAGTAAAGTTGAAATTATTCCAGTGGGATGAGAGTTTAAGTTTCATAGTCCTTTGTGGCCAATTCCATTTTAAATGCTACTGGAAGGCTGTCCTTTTCAAGTTCAGTGCTTTGTTGTGTGGTATCAAGAGTGTCTGTACTAGGCTCTGGTCTGATGAACAGAAGCTTTAAATTTGAAAAGCAGCAGCTTTAGAAATGCACATTTATGAACAAAAAATATAGCATGTAGATCTCTTCTAGTGAGGACCAGTGTGCTTTTATATAGTACAATGATGAAACAGTATTTATATCATGCACTGAATTCAGTGCAAGTGCATCTCATTGTTTTAAGCAGTGGAGAACAGGATATCAACATATTTAAGCATGGACATGACTTGAACCACTTTCTGCAGCTGTGAAATTTTGGTGCACATTATGTATTTATTTTACAACCCGGGACACATGTTGTTACTAATAAAATGAAGTTACCGATTTCATCACCAAAATAAAGTTATGTTTCACAGAACAGTATTTAATTTTAAAAGCAGTAGTTTGAGATCTTAGAACACTTGTTTTCTTGCTGCGAGTTGGATAAGAAGCTCAATTTAATGCTGGTGTTGCTAAAGTAAATATGAAGCTAGAGCCAGCAACGTTTTAGCCTGGCACAAAGACAAGGAAACAAGCATGTCTGTTGTTCCACACAGTCTCATGTTTGCATTTTTTCTGCGCTGCAACTAAGTGTCTTTTATTATTTCACAGTGTATGAGGCCGGAAAAGCAGTGAAGAAAGGTATGGCCAATCAGTATGCTCCCACCATGTATGCTCCCAGTATGTATGGTCAGCCAGCATACAGTGGGCCACTAATGAACCAGCCTGTTATGCCCTTGCTTCCTCTTCCTAATGGAGCTGGACTCCCACCTCCCCAGAATGGTTATGGTCATGATTATGAAGGTGCCAGTTCAGGTGAGAGTTACTTACACTGAAACCAGACTTGTGTTATTTTATTACTAATTAAGGAAAAGCTGCTGAATAAATTCTGTAGCAGTTCTGATAATGTGTTCCTTTTAAGAAAGTTTTTTTAAGTTAATTCTTAGAGGTTTCATAAAGACATCCTAAATCTCTCAGCTAATTTGTTTAACACTGAGCTTTGTTTAAATTTGCTTTCTTTTAACTGTGCAGTTGGGCAGGGCTCCCAGGTGCCCTTATTGCATGACCGTGACGGGGACCACAGTAAGTAATAGAAGAAACCACAAACACTTATGTAATTTCATTTTTACGTGGGCGGGGGATTTTTGCCTTCTCATTTTCACGTTAAAGCCTGCTCAGATTGTCAAACCTCCGCTGGTACAACAGAGAGATCATTCTAAATTTTCCGTTGTGGTTTCACACGAATACAGTTCTTGTAATTAGTACCTTCTAATAGTTGTTAGTCCTAGACTGGCATTCTTTGTAGTGTGGGCTCAAAGTATGACTTATAATATTCCACTTAGTTTACTTATATTTACAGTTTGTTGATAACTATACATGTTTGACATTATACTGTATATGCTTTGTAATGGCTCTTGTTGCCCCCCACTGTTTTGTTAAACTGACACACTTCTTACTGTTTAACTGACACCAGTGTTTTTGTGTCCTCAGTATACCACTGGTTGAAAGACATTTCTGTAGGAAAGTGTTCACTATATCCTCATCATCGTGACTTGCCAATTTGTTGACTTTTTTTTTTTTTTTTAGATTATATGATTTTATTAAGATATTTTGATACATAAACATATGTAATTGAGCAGATGTTGGGGAAAACTCCCTTCATTTTGACAGCTGTCTCAGGTCTTTATGTACATTGTTGTCCAGTTTCATCAAAAAGTATAATGTCACCTATTGTAGGTATTATTCTGAAACCCTCACATGAGCAGCAAGAACAATAAATTAACTGAGGTTTAGGAAAAGAATATAACAATGTTCTTCCATGAGACCCAGTGACTTGGTGTGTGTTGGCACAAGGATGCAGAAGCTGGATTCAGATCCCCTCTGTTCTTCTCTCCAGCTCGCAGTGGGTATCGTATCCAAGTGGACCCAGACGGGAATGCCACACGTGCCATTTACTATATGGAGAGGGAGGTGGCCAAGCTGGACCCATCAAGACCTGCCAACTATAACCGCTGTGAGCGACTAATCACTTAAGTTACATATCAACTGTGCTGCAGACTGCTCTGTGTAGGGGGGCGGGGGCTGACACACTTCTGGTAAAAGGTGTCAACTACTGCCTGGATCTGGTTCACATTTCCTCCAAACTTTTGTAAAGTTCAGTCTGTTCAGTTACACACTTATTCAGTTTATTCAATTTATTTTATTCAAACTTAGGACATTGAATATAAAACGCTTTTATGAAATCAGTTTTATAATAATCTGAATATTATTTTGGGATAGTGATATACAGTTTGACAAATTAATGCAAAATCAGTTGGAAGAATAATTACATGCGTTGAACTGTTTTCTGTTGCTATGGCTTATAGCAGACAAATAACACAGTTTTGCTGAATTGTGATAACAGGATATCATTTTATCACAATATAATTAAATTAATCAAAGTCTGCTTTATTGGCCAGGTGTGCTGAATATATGAGGTATTAAAGAAGGTAAGTAAAGTAAACGAAATGCACACAGTGCATTACAAAAATAAAGTACATTAACAGAAATGAATTACCAAAAATATTGAGCTGTTACCCAGCTTTACTTTCAGCTTACAGAGATCTTCTGTAATTGGGGAGGTTTGCAAAGTCTGACACAGCAAAACAAAAGGGTGAATATTCCTTCTCCTTTTATTTGAATAAAGAGCTACTAAATTATCATCACAGCCAGTGATTGAGTGAACCCAGCGCAGTATTTTAAGTGTGTGTGTGTGTGTGTGTGTGTGTTTGTATCGCCGTGGACTGAAGGATGTACTGCTTCTGTTAACTGATTTTAATAATGCCTCTGACTGTAAATCATTGATTGTGATGGGGGGGAACTGTAATCAGTTCATTATGATACTATACAGGTGCATCTCAATAAATTAGAATATCGTGGAAAAGTCCCTTTATTTCAGTAATTCAACTCAAATTGTGAAACTCGTGTATTATATAAATTCAGTACACACAGACTGAAGTAGTTTAAACCGGTGGGTCTTTTAATTGTGATATTTTTGGCCCACATTTAACAAAAACCCACCGAATCACTATCTCAATAAATTAGAATATGGTGACATGCCACTCAGCTAGTCAACTCAAAACACGTGCAAAGGTGTCCTGAGCCTTCAAAATGGTCAGTTTGGTTCACTAGGCTAAACAATCATGGGGAAGACTGCTGATCTGACAGTTGTCCAGAAGACAATCACTGACACGCTTCACAAGGAGGATAAGCCACAAACATTCATTGCCAAAGAAGCTGGCTGTTCACAAAGTGCTGTATCCAAGCATGTTAACAGAAAGTTGAGTGGTAGGAAAAAGATGCACAACCAACTGAGAGAACCGCAGCCTTGAGAGGCTTGTCAAGCAAAATCGATTCAAGAATTTGGGTGAACTTCACAAGGAACGGACTGAGGCTGGAGTCAAGGCATCAAGGGCCACCACACACCGCAGCTTCAAGGAATTTTGGCTACAGTTGTTGTATTCCATTCCATTCCTATTCCTCTTGTCAAGCCACTCCTGAACCACAGACAACATCAGAGGCGTCTTAGCTGGGTTAAGGAGAAGAAGAACTGGACTGTTGCCCAGTGGTCCAAAGTCCTCTTTTCAGATGAGATTTTTTAGTCACTGCACCCGTTTACCAAGAAATTTTAGAGCACTTCATGCTTCCTTCTGCTGACCAGCTTTTTGGAGATGCTGATTTCATTTTCCAGCAGGATTTGGCCCCTGCCCACACTGCTAAAAGCACCAAAAGTTGGTTAAATGACCATGGTGTTGGTGTGCTTGACTGGCCAGCAAACTCACCAGACCTGAACCCCATAGAGAATCTATGGGGTATTGTCAAGAGGAAAATGAGAAATGAGAGACCAACAAATGCAGATGAGCTGAAGGCCACTGTCAAAGAAACCTGAGCTTCCATACCACCTCAGCAGTGCCACTGACTGATCACCTCCATGCCACGCCGAATTGAGGCAGTAATTAAAACAAAAGGAGCCCCTACCAAGTATTGAGTACATATACAGTAAATTAACATACTTTCCAGAAGGCCAGCAATTCACTAAATATGTTTTTTTGTAGGTCTTATGAGGTATTTAATTTATTGAGATAGTGATTTCGTGGGTTTTTGTTAAATGTGGGCCAAAATCATCACAATTAAAAGACCCAATGGCTTAAACTACTTCAGTCTGTGTGTACTGAATTTATATAATACACAAGTTTTCACTATTTCAGTTGAATTACTGAAATAAATGGACTTTTCCACGATATTCTAATTTACTGAGATGCACCTGTATGTGTCTCAATGGAATGGTTCAGTTCTTCTGAAGCTAGTGGAAATTTTGCGGGTTACTAATTTCAGGTTTGCTAATTTATACCCAGAAATGTTTCTTTAGGTGCCCGTGAACATACCAGCAGAAGACCAAACTAGATGCCTTGCACAAACTTAAAATGTGTAATTTTTCCACAAGTATTGTGGGGTTTTTGAATGATGTTGAAAAAGGATGCAGTTTATTAGGTGTAAAATCGGCCAGTGTTCTTAGCAGTGTGCATACACACACAGCATCAACTAAAACTTACACAAGACAAATGAATATATTGCACTGTGTATAAAGCAAGTGAAATTACACAACATAAATGATAAAAACTTTATGTGGAGCCTCTTGGTGGCTGCCGGGCTTTTACGGAGCTCCTTACTTTGCTTATTCTTCACTCAGACACCATTTCATTCCTTCTCTCCTACTTACCACCTCTATTTGTCTCCCCTCAGTGGAAAATATGAGTGAAGTCAGTTCCCTGCATGATAGCTTGGAACCCCGAGGTCGCGGGGGTCGTTCCCAGCCTCCACCTTTGGCCACACTCTATGACCAGGATGAAGCCATGAGCACCATTAGCAGTGTTTCACAGCAAGGCCGCCGTCGTGATGACTACCCACGCCGTGATGGAGCCTACACGGGTGGTCGTGCACGTGCTCGCTCCATGGACAACCTTGACGACATTGGGCGCCACTATGGCCGAGACGACTATCCACCACGCCGGCGCCCAGATGAGCCCAGAGGCAGGAGAGGGTGAGTCTTATATCCCTGGGCAGGCCTGTTTATAGCCATTACCACCCTACTTAGTAAACCTTTGTCGAGACGTGTCTGTTGGTACAAAGAACTTTGCACACAATTCTGAGATTGTGTCATTTACTTTGTTCCTCCTTATGGAAATCCTTTAGGTAGCAGCTGCAGCTGATTGTCGCTGTTTGTGGTTACAGTGACAGCCAGCGGGGCCTATAGCAGTTGTCGCTAACTGACATTAATTCCACAACTTAAATTGATGACATGACAAAATGAAAGTGGCTGCTGTCGGGTTTGTGACCTCGCTGCAGCCGGTGGACAAACAGACAACATGCAGTGTCCACTGTTAGCCAAAGATCATTTATGAGGTAAAGAGGCATCACACCGTAACACCGCTGAATACTTAGAGTAAACTGAGTGCTCTGCTGTCGTCACAACAGCACTGACGGAGTAAGACATCTCCACAGGTAAAACTATTAGTAAATCTCACATCACTGATGGAAATGTACAGGTAGCACATTCTGTGTGCACACAAATGGTTATGAAGATCTGTTGTCTGTTCTTCTGTTACATTAAACATTACTTTCATTAGCTTTTTGTTTTATTTTTAACCCAAAGTGCTGCCAGATGGGCAAAGAGGTGCTGCAGCTACTTGGTTATGGTTTACAACTTTACAACTTCTCTCCTTAGAATACAGTAAGGCCTCTGTATTATCAGCATTACCCTATTTGGTGCAGGGAAATGTGTACACAGTATGTGACTCATATGATTTTCACAGTGGTTTTCACTGTTGAGACCTTGTTTCAGTAGTCATATTTGGATGAGGCCTTCTGTAACTAGAGAAAACAGCTGGTGCTTAAAGAGCCAATAGCAAGCGTTTCCTTTCTTTCTGACTTATCTACAATGTTACAGCGGTGAATTATTATCTTTGATGTGACTGAGTTTCCACCAGGTCGTTGTCAGTATTTGCAGTGACTTTATACATTGCTGGGTATGAAATACTGACATCAAGTGAAACTATGAATCTCACCTTATATACAAGTGGTGTGAAAAAGTATTTGCCCCCTTACTGATTTCTTATCTTTTTGCATGTTTGTCACACTGTAATGTTTCAGATCATCAAACAAATTTAAATATTAGTCAACGATAACACAAGTAAACACATCATGCAGTTTTTAAATGAAGGTTTTTATTATTAAGGGAAAACAAAATCCAAAACTACAAAGCCCTGTGTGAATAAGTGTTTCCCCCCCCTGTCAAAACATAACTTAACTCTGATCATGCCGAGATCCAAAGAAATTCAAAACCAAATGAGAAAGAGAATAATTGAGCTCTATCAGTTTGGAAAAGGTTATAAAGCCATTTCTAAAGCTTTGGGACTGCAGCGAACCACAGTGAGAGCCATTATCCACAAATGGCGAAAACATGGAACAGTGGAGAACCTTCCCAGGAGTGGCCGGCCGACCAAGATTACCCCAAGAGCGCAGCGACAACTCATCCAAGAGGTCACAAAAGACCCCACAACAACATCCAAAGAACTGCAGGCCTCACTTGCCTCAGTTAAGGTGAGTGTTCATGACTCCACCATAAGAAAGAGACTGGGCAAAAATGGTTTGCATGGCAGAGTTCCAAGACGAAAACCACTGCTGAGCAAAAAGAACATAAAGGCTCGTCTCAGTTTTGCCCGAAAACATCTTGATGATCCCCAAGACTTTTGGGATAATACTCTGTGGACAGACGAGACAAAAGTTGAACTTTTTGGAAGGTGTTTGTCCCATTATGTGTGGCGTAAAAGTAACACCGCATTTCAGAAAAAGAACATCATACCAACAGTAAAATATGGTGGTGGTTGTGTGATGGTCTGGGGCTGTTTTGCTGCTTCAGGCCCTGGAAGACTTGCTGTGATAAATGGAACCCTGAATTCTGCTGTGTACCAAAATATCCTGAAGGAGAATGTCCGGCCATCCGTTTGTGACCTCAAGCTGAAGCGAACTTGGGTTCTGCAGCAGGACAATGATCCAAAGCACACCAGCAAGTCCACTTCTGAATGGCTGAAGAAAAACAAAATGAAGACTTTGGAGTGGCCTAGTCAAAGTCCTGACCTGAATCCAATTGAGATGCTGTGGCATGACCTTAAAAAGGCAGTTCATGCCCGAAAACCCTCCAATGTGGCTGACTTACAACAATTCTGCCAAGATGAGTGGGCCAAAATTCCTCCACAGCGCTGTGGCAGACTCATGGCAAGTTATCGAAAACGCTTGATTGCAGTTGTTGCTGCTAAGGGTGGCCCAACCAGTTATTCGGTTTAGGGGGCAAACACTTATTCACACAGGGTTTTGTAGTTTTGGATTTTGTTTTCCCTTAATAATAAAAACCTTCATTTAAAAACTGCATGATGTGTTTACTTGTGTTATCTTTGACTAATATTTAAATTTGTTTGATGATCTGAAACATTACAGTGTGACAAACATGCAAAAAGATAAGAAATCAGTAAGGGGGCAAATACTTTTTCACACCACTGTAGAACTGCACTCAATGTATTAGCCTTAAACCTCAGATACAACAAGATTGTAGGGTGCAACTTAAACCTGTTGACTTCAACAAGATGCAGCTCCCGGGTTTAAGCTAAACAGCTGTGGTTTAAACGGACACAGAAGTGAGGATGAAACTTAACTTCGAGTTGTCTTAACTTCTCTTCAGCAAGTCAAATATTTCTGCTTTCTGTTTCTGTAGCTCAGATGATGAGTGGAGCAGCAGTGCTCGCAGCGGTTACGACCGTGACTTTGATGACCGCCAGCGTCGCGACTACTCCCCTGATGGTCGCCGGAGAGGGGAAGGAGGGGGATATGGTGGCCTCCCAGGGCGACGGAGCCGCAGTCGTGATGATCTGATGGACCTGGAGAGAGATCGCCGTCCTGGCGGTGGCACGAAGGGTGGGAGAGATGATTATGATGACAGCTTTCTACGAGAGGCCATGGAGAGGAAGAAGCTGGGCGAGCAGCAAAGGGCCCGCAGCAGAGAACGCCTGGATAGCGAGAGTGATCGCTCGGATCGAGGGAGGGCACCTCGTGGGCCCCCACCACTTCCAGTGAACCCGCCTTCTGGATACCCTGGTCGCCATGATGACTATCCACCTCCTCCACCACCAGCGTACAGTGAAGATGAAAGTGTGTCATCTTCAAAGAAAAGCAATCTCCGCAAGGTAAGTCAAAGCAAAACTGCCTTTTCATATGACCGTTTAGATGTTTCAGCGACTTTCAGCATAAACTTCAAGTTTACATGAAAATCTGTGAATGTAAGTGTATAAATTTTGTGATTGGACAAAACTAATCCTACATCCGAGGAAGTCGGCTGTAGGATTAAAGGATACACCTGGTGATATTTTCAGTTTTTTCCCATTGTTAACAGATTAATGAGAAGACAAAAACCAACAAAGAAATGATCCTACTAACAAGTATTGTTTGTGCATCTTATTCCTCTGTGCTGTAGAGTGATGTAATTGTCCTAAAACCATCCAAAACACACCTGTAAGCCACACCATTGTGCCAGGTGACATACTCCTTAATTATAATGAAGATAGGCACTGGAGTTTATTTTGAGTCAGTTCAACCTACATCGTCTTGCTGCTATAAATTCTCACAAATGAACCTGCCATGTATTGAGCTGTGGACAGTCCCTAACGACACATTTTGTACACCAGTTTCGGTACTGTGTAAATTAAAAAAATACAGCTGTTTTGTGAAATTTTAGCTTTTGAAATACTATGTTAAGGAAATACTGTATTTTAAGATTGTCTTCAGGAGGGATGCATGAGTTTGGGACAGACACAGACGGCATAGAAGTCAGAGCACTGAGAGATAGACTTGCACATTATTCATTTATTTGTTTTTTCCTTTATGGGATTTGATGACAGAAAATTACAGAATAAGCCTTTTCCTTTAAGTCTGATTGAGGCATCTAAAATGGGATTAATCTGGGATTCATGTTTGGTTTTCCTCAGAGGATTTCTTAACTGGACGTTACTTTTTTTTTTTTTGTTACAGAACGGAGCTGTGAGTCGGGAGAGCCTGGTTGTCTAACTAGGATGGGAGGAACCTGCCTGATGATGGAACCGTAATCCATCTAAAAAATAAAAAGACCAATTGATTTCTGAGACTGTAAATATTTGTCACTGATAATTTTTATACTGCATAATACATAGTAAACGTAACACAAATTGATGCTGAATGTGTATGTATACTTTTCTAATAGGGAAGAGGTGCACAGATGATATGTTGTGTGCTTTTTCATGTGTAAAAGATTGTGGCTGCCACAAGTGCCTTAGAGTGTACAGAATTTTACTTGTAGATGTGAAAGCTGATAAATCTCTGTTCAGGCATTTACATCTTGACATGTAAACGTGCTCTGACTGTGATGGCAGTGCTTTGAACCCTTACATAGTTTCACTTAGCTGTTCCAGGTACAGATGTGGGTTTATGGGGTTTTGTTTTGCTTTTTACTTGTGAAAGAACTGTTTTTATAAGAAAAGCTGTGTCGCTTTTAGCTGCTCAGAATTTAGAAACCTGGTGAACAAAATAGTCTGATCAAATTTGAGTACTTACATTTTAATTTTCTTCTTTTTTTTTAATAAAGAATTTCATTTAGAACTGACAATGTATTGTACAGCTGACCAGTAATGTATGTACTCTGAAAATGCAAATGCTTATTGTGATTTTATGAAACCTGATTTTACAATAAAAGTCTCTATTGTCAGGCCATTTACTAAATGTGACTTGCAGAGTTTAACCACTAGGTGATGCCATCATTTTGGTCAGAATTTTAATGGCACAGTGAAATGCTCTTTGGCTAAAGGAAGTAATAATGCTATAGACCTTCTGCTGTGTATGAACCACTGTTTAATATATAATGTTTAATATATAAAACTTTCTGAACTGATCAATTAGACAAAGATGATCTTTATTTTTAGGCGTTCACTGGGATTTCTGTTCCTCTGTCTGTAGCCAGACAATTCCTACTTCATTTTAATTTGTGGTCGATGTAGCCCTTCAGTTTGTGCCCTTCTGAAGGTGTTGTGCCACATTTTACAAATGTTTCTGTACTTCATGCCTTCACTTTGTCCACTATTTAAGTTATACAGTAATAATGTCAGATGTGATTTTACACAACATGTGACGGTAAGTTTAGTATCAACTGATATACTTGCAGTTACTCTGTGTGTGTGTGTGTGTGTAACATGAGAAGCAGCAGGTCAAATTTCAGTGTTCAGTGTCTTTAAAGGGATTTTGGCTGGAAATCTGTTAAGCGGTATCACTAGGTTCCTACAAAAGTGGTGAGGATGTGTTAAAAAATTTTTATTTCAAGTTTGTCAACTAAGACAAAATTGAATTATATAAAATGACACTTGATTTCAGAGTTCCCGATGTCATCTGTTTCAGGTGTTCTGATTTTTCTCTCGCGAGTCTTCTCACATTGAATGCCATTCGTGTTGTGCATCCATCAACAGCCCCATGTTTCGGATCTTAAACTATGGTTACAGTGACTGAGGTGTGTGCTCATCATCTCCACATTGCCACACAAACATCGGTTGTGACAGTGATTTCATACACAAGTGAAGTTATGTTGAAATCTCTGTTGTCTTATTTGATGCCAGTGAGGTACCAAACACAGCACACTTGGGTCTGAAGAACAGTCCATCTCATTGAATAAGATGACAGCTGTACCGTTTTGAAGGGCTGTGTCAAAATGGAAACTAGGCCAGAAGTTGTCTCTTTGGAGCATGTTTTACTGATCCTTTTATATTAATATTTTTAAATAAGTTAGAGAATATCAAGTGCCTGTATTAGGCAGGAAGATGTGTGCTGCTTTTATGTTACTCTCATTTTAATGTTTCTCTGCAAAGGAAGCTTGACTATTCAGTTGAAAGACACCTGCCAGGTTTGTTAAATAGATCTTCCAGTCATTTGGTCATCCTATGTGGTCCATCACAATATTTATATTGTATTTATACAGTATTTTAAAGTTGTAAGTAGTATTTTAAAGTAAAACACATTTTTCATAGCAAACACAAGGAGACAGAAAAGTTTTTTATTAGTGAGAGAATGCTGGATGTGATCTAATTGTCCTTTATCACACAAAACTGTGGATGCAGCCTCCAGTAGTTTATTGCCAGTTGCAAAGAGAGGATCGTCTTTGATAAGCTGTTGCTGTGATGATGCTCAGTGGCCAATAGACTGGACTGAGCAGCTCTGAGGTGAGAATGTGTTTGTGGTTAAAATGATGTTCCTGAAAAAGAGAGCCTTAGTTTGTGAAGTTTTCCTGGATAAATACAGGTTTAAAATAAAGTCCCTGCCTGCAATAAACATCCTGCTCGGTCTGAGACATTTTAGTCATTGTCATTCTCAGACAGGATGATTGTGTGTTCAGCATGTTAAAGGCTGATCTAAGGTCATGTTCCTCATCTATGTTTATAGTGTTTTTCAAAGATGTTACTATGCACAGTTTTGTCATTCTGATTTTCCATACTGTTAATCTATTATGTTTACCTACAGTGCCTTGCGAAAGTATTCGGCCCCCTTGAACTTTGTGACCTTTTGCCACATTTCAGGCTTCAAACATAAAGATATAAAACTGTAATTTTTTGTGAAGAATCAACAACAAGTGGGACACAATCATGAAGTGGAACGAAATTTATTGGATATTTCAAACGTTTTTAACAAATAAAAAACTGAAAAATTGGGCGTGCAAAATTATTCAACCCCCTTAAGTTAATACGTTGTAGCGCCACCTTTTGCTGCGATTACAGCTGTAAATCGCTTGGGGTATGTCTCTATCAGTTTTGCACATCGAGAGACTGAAATTTTTGCCCATGCCTCCTTGCAAAACAGCTCGAGCTCAGTGAGGTTGGATGGAGAGCATTTGTGAACAGCAGTTTTCAGTTCTTTCCACAGATTCTCGAATGGATTCAGGTCTGGACTTTGACTTGACCATTCTAACACCTGGATATGTTTATTTGTGAACCATTCCATTGTAGATTTTGCCTTATGTTTTGGATCATTGTCTTGTTGGAAGACAAATCTCCATCCCAGTCTCAGGTCTTTTGCAGACGCCATCAGGTTTCCTTCCAGAATGGTCCTGTATGTGGCTCCATCCATCTTCCCATCAATTTTAACCATCTCCCCTGTCCCTGCTGAAGAAGTTTTTTTTCCATTTTTTCCCCCAGTGGGGGGGGGGGGGGGTCCTCATCCAATTTAAGAGTCTAAAGACAGAGGATGTCGTATGCTGTACACATTTTAAAGCCCCTTGAGACAAATGTATGGTCAACATACAGAAAACCTTGACTCAGATCTTCAGACCTTTTGAGGACATTCACAAAAGCACTTCACAACAACTTGCTCATTTATTGATGTTAGTTTTTGGATATTTATATCAAATATATTTGTACTGTAGGTTTGAAGCAGCAGCAAGGACACATAGAGTAGTATAGTGTGTTTTGTCAGTGAAATAGTAACCTACTGAGAGACCCCTAATGGACCTCGAGCCCTACTTTAGGAACCAAAGTCTGGCACCTTCAGATGCTCAGACACAGTTTCACAGGCCAAACTGACATAACCCTGCTTCAACAACTTCACCTTTGTGAAATGAGGTAAATTGTGTTCCTGCTCCAATTTAAAACCCTGGTTCCTGGCAATAAGGCAGCATTGCATTGGCAATAAATAAATACTAAATATACAGCTCTTATTATTTCACTATCGAATGATATAAACAAATAGCTGCTACCTGTTAAGTCCATATAGCCTACAGTCATAACTCACTTTGTGGTCATTTAATTGACACTGCCACAATACACATCCCATTCTGCACCTCAGCCCCCTTTACACACCTCCTTGCTACATACAGTGCACATACGTCCTGTGTTGGCAATGAAAGTTCAAGATGTAAATTCTGAGGTGCAAAATTCCCAAGGATACTGGGCTGGTTTGTGATAATTGCAGTGTATTGCACCATATTTTCCAAGTTGTCCCATCCTAATAACATTTTACTCAGTCAAACTGCTAAGCCCTTGATACTGTGCAAAATCACTAAAACAAGAGGTGGACAAAGAGCAGACAGATGATCAGACTGGTTTTAACTTATTCAGAAGAGAAAATGAAACATGCTTCTTGTCCAATCAGGGATTACTGTGTTCATTGTTATCTCTAAATGAAGTGGTTTATATGACCTGGCTAATATCTCAGACATGACTTTGATGAGTACAGTTTTAACATGTTTATTAAAATAATGGCCGAACTACAAAAATAAGACAAATTCTATATGAAAACAATATCTTTTGTTCAAAATAATAACAATAACATTGTGTTAATCTAAAACCTGAAAGCTATTTAAAAGACTAGGCCCCCCACCCATCACAGGTTCTGTGTGCCAAAGATCCAATCTGCTGACAGAGAGAGGAAGAGGAGGGAGGAGGGAGAGCAGCAGAGAAGGCAACTGCTGAAGGGGAGAAGACGACTCTCTGAGCTCCTCACTGGATTCAGATCAGCTGATAAGGTAGGAGCTCTGCTTTGCTCTCATCTACAGTTACCCTTCCTTACTTTTTGATTAATGATCAAATCCTCAGCCTGCTACTTGGTGTTTGCTTCACTCTCAGTCATAACTCTTTTTCTTCTTGTTTCTCTGTGGGAGTTTAAATTTCTCACCTCAAAGTCCTTTCTTTACAACAGAAAGGCAATAAATGGCTTATTGTGATCAGTTATTGCAACACTAGAGGGGCAGATATTTCACAGCAGTGTGTTTTACGTGTAGAGTTGGTCTATTAGCCTTAACAGTCTGCATTTGATGCTGTCACACATTTTAATTGTTTCTAGCTGATAATGGTGCACAGAAAATAAACAGTGGGCTGTTGTTTGACAACTACATTATGTATTCATCTGAGTGTGTACTGAAAGATTGGAAACTGTTGGCTAGAAATTTTTTTTTTAATTTATTGACTAAAGAAAAAACAAATATTAGATTCTATAGCCTTCTTGGCAATCTGTCACCTATTAATACATTCAGCACGGTGTCATCACATCCTTGCTACTTGTGACTGTGGAAATACACAGCGGTCATTGATCTATTAACAGACTGAAATGTTTGTCCTACTCATGCATAAATACATTAGGGCCAGCTGTGGCTCAGGAGGTAGAGCAGTTGTCCCTCAACTGGAAGGTCGCCGGTTTCCCATTCTCCCCAGTCCACAGTTGAAGTGTCCTCGGACAAAACACTGAACTGCCAGTTGCCCCTGATGGTCAGGTCAGCGCCCTGCAGGGACAGCACCGCCATTGTTGTGTGTGTGTGTGAGTTGGCGCCACAGATGGCTACCTCAGTTCTGTACTGGAGACAGATTCCTTGTGTGTGTAGCACACTGGGCCAATAAAAGTGACTGTCATTACTGAAGTCAAATCAGATTTTATTCATATAGCCCAACATTACAAAGCACAGGTTTCCTTCAAGGGGCTTTATCATCTGTTCAGCATATAACAGGACAGGGAAAAACCTACCCTAAAAAAACCCTCTTAAAAAAAAAAGCAGTGGAAGAAACCTCAGGGGCAGCAACCAAGGAGGGGTCCCTCATCCAGGAAGGACAATAGGTGCCATGTATACAGAATAAAGCAGCATAGTAGATTTACATTATGGACAACCAGGATAAAAAATGGATTTTAAATAAGCATATATGTAGAATATGAGCCGCAGAACCTCCAGGCATGGGCAAACAGATAGGCCCAGAGCC